AAACAGTGAAGTGGTTTTAAAATCTTGTTAAGAAGAACAGCAGTCCTCTGCCCCTCCCCAGGGGTAACCACTGTCACCTCTCAGTAGATTATTTTGGTATTTACTTTCACAGTTCCATACAATCTGCTGGATTACTTCTTGATTTTTCAATTTTAGGCATCATTCACAAACTTTTCACTATAGCAGGAGCGAATTAACTCTTCTTGCCACACAAGCTCTGTTCCCCCAACCAAACACACATAAGCATTCCCAGGCCCTCATCCTCCCAATAAAATTACATCATCACTCTGAGAATTAACCATTACAACTATGTAAATACTCGGGTTACTATTCTATCCTATACAGCTTTCTATTTTTACCGAAATTAGTAACTGTCTTGTTTCAATGTGGTTGGTTTTTCTGTCTGCTCTGTACATTAATCCACCACAAGCTTCCCATCGATTATTTAAAACAGCAGTCTCAAAGTACGGTCTATGGACTCCATTCAGGGATCCATGAGGTCAAAACTATTTTCATAATAGTATTAATACTAAGGCATCATGTGGCCTTTTCTGTGTATGTTCCATTTATATTGATGGCACAGAAACACTGGTGGGGAAAACTGTTGATGCTTTGGCATGAATCACACAACAGCAACAAGTACTGCCAGAGGTCAGGGTCTCATCACCAGCTCACACTCACAGGAAATAAAAAACCTACTTCACTTAAGCATGTTCCTGATGAAGCGGTAAGGAATTTACTGCTTTTATTGCTTTTACTGTGGGTCAACTCTTGTGTACTTGTCTTTTCCACTTAGCAGCATGGCCAAGTATGACGATGTCTTGGGGAAAAGCATTTACATACTTTGAGTAGTGAGGTGAACTGACCATCTGTTTTTACAGAACACCATTTTTACTTGGAGGAAGAGTGACACACTATGGTTATCTGGCACGCAAGAAAAACAACGAACGTTGTTCATTGCTAATGATAAAATTCAAGCTGTCATAAAAATTAGAATTTTGGAAACCCTATATCTGACATATGATACATGTTTTCCAACATTTAAAGATTTGTCTAGGATCTGTAGTGAGACTAATAAATGTGACTTTTTAGTGTAATGAAATATGTCCACATTTAAAAAATCAGACTACTAGTCTGAAAATACTACCCAGTTCAGTCACTCAGTTGTGTCTGACTCTGCAACTCCATGGACTGCAGCACACCAGGCTTCCCTGTCCTTCATGGCTGAGTTTGCTCAAACTCATGTCCATTGAGGCAGTGATGCCATCCAACCCTCTTATCCTCTGTTTCCCCTCTCTCCTCTTGCCCTCAATCTTTCCCAGCATCAGGGTCTTTTCCAATGAGTCAGTTTTTCCCACCAGGTGGCCAAAGTATTGGAGCTTTAGCTTCAGCATCAGTCCTTCCAATGAATATTCAGGATTGATTTCCTTTTGGATTGACTGGTTTGATCTCCTTGCAGTCCAAGGGACTCTCAAGACTCTTCTGCAATCCACAGTTCGAAGCATCAATTTTTTGGTGCTCAACCTTCTTTATGATCCAACTCTCACATCTATACATGACTATTGGATAAAAAATCATGCATGAATAAAAGATTCATTCAAAGTGTAAAACAGATGGATAGATTTTAATATAACCCAGTATAAAAGTTCAAGTTGATGTGGTGTTGGTCTATTGGGGCTGCCATAACAAAATACCACAGACTGGGGAGCTTGAACAATTTCTTTCTCATAATTCTGGAGGCTGGGAAATCCAAGACCAAGATGGCAGCCAATTCAGTTTCTGGTGCAAGCTTTTTTCCTGACTTGCAGATGGTCACCTTCTGACCTGCTCCAATCTGATCCCCTGTCTTCTGCATTTGCATAGAGCTGGTACCCTGGGAATTTTCTTCACCATCATCTAGGTCAACAAATTATGGTCTATGGGCCAAATCCAGTCAGTCACTTGTTTTTAAGGGAAGTTTTAGTGGGTCACAGCCTGCTCACATTATTTATATAGTTTTCTTTCATGAGTAACTGTAACAGACCACATGGTCTCTAAAACCAAAAACAGGTTTACTAACTGGTCCCCGACAAGGAAGTCTGGTGACTTGTGATCTGAGTAAGTCTTTCACTTCTTTATTGTGTGGGCTTATTAGTTTCCTGAGTCCCATGTCTTCTTCCTTCCTGATTTACTCCTTCTTTTCGGTGAAAGCTTCCTGAGAAAGGGTATGGAAGATGAACAATTTTTGTTTGAGACCTTGCATGTCTGAAAATGTCCTCTCCTACTCTCACATTATATTGATGGTTTAGCTAAGTACAGCATTTTAGCATGGAGGTCACAGTCTTTCATAAATTAGAGAACTTTGCTTCATTGTCATCTAACTTCTAGGGTTTTAATAAAAAAGTCTTAAGTTTTTTCTGAGTTCTGATCTACTGTATGAGCCTCTTTCCTTTTTTTTATTCCTCTTCTTAGAAGCCTATAGGATCTTTTCTTTGTCCTCAGTGCTCTGAAATTTTATGACAATGTGGCTTGGAGACGGTGTTCCCATTACCATGCTGGGCAGTACACTCTTTCGGCCTGGAGGGTCACATCCTGCAGTGATGGGGCATCTCTCTGAATGATCTTGTTGATGATTTCTTCTCTCTTTCTCTGTTCCCTATTTCTGGAATGGTCACTGAATATATCTCGGACTGGTGCTCTACTTTTCCTCTCTTTTCTGTCTTATTCTGGGATAATTTTTCAACTTTATCTTCCAATCTGAGCCCTGAAACTTCATTTCTTCTATCGTGTTTTTAATCTCATGCTGTTAATGGAATTTTTAAAAAAGAGCTCCTTTCCCCCCTTTCTGAATGTTTCTTTTTCAAAGTGCCTAGATCCTATAGTAAAGATACTTTCTTTTAAAAAGGAACTCTCTGAAGATATAAAAAAGTTTCTTCTCCTTATGTGTTGTTTAATCATTCAGTCGTGTCTGCCTCTTTTGCAACCCTATGGACTGTGTAGTCTGCCAAGCTCCTCTGTCCCTGGGATTCCCCAGGCAAGAACACTGGAGCGGTAGCCGTTTCCTCCTCCATTCCTTGTGTAGCCAGTTTTGTTCCAGTTGCTCCCCTCTTGTTTACTTTGGTTTTCCTGTTCCATTTTAGAGGCTTTCCTCTTGTCTCTATACAGGAAAGTGAAATGCAAAAAGGCTGATTTCTTAGTGAAATCCTAAAAAGCTCTGCTTGAGTGGGTGGAGCTTATTGTCCGCAAGCTTTACTGTAGGGAAATACAGCTGAGCTGCTGGTTGGGAAATCCTTGAGGTTTTTAATCTTTAAATCTTCTTCACCACTCAGATTCCTCAGAGGACACTTTTCCTATCTTCTGAGTCAAGGGTATAGGCTTGGCTACTAGAATTCCGAGGTTGGTGGGGAAGAAAAGACGGGCCTCTTAATGTTTGGTGTGCCAGCGTTCAATCAACCTCCCTCAGTGGGTCATGACCGCAGCTGCGTTTGGTGCCCCCCGAGTTCAGCATCCTTTCCTGTATCCTGTCTTGAGGACAAATTCCTGATCTTCTCCTAGGTTATGGAAGCGACAATCTTTTAAAGTAAACCTCCGACCAACACAGTGAGTCTCCTCTTTGCCCAGCTCTCCCCCACTTCCCAGCGATAGCTGCTGCTGTTAATTTCTGAACTTCTTCAGGGTTCCTCTGTGTAAACTGGGTTGTTTCTTGGCTCTCGCTATTGTTGGCTCAGGACTTGGCTTTCTCGGGACTGCTAAGTCAGTTACCACTCATCCATCTGCTTCTCGGCTTCCAAATTTTTGTTGCTGTTGTCTCCTCTCCCATTCTCTTTGTCCTTGTGGGTTTATGTCTTAAAAAAAAAATCTCTTCACTGTTGTTTTAGTGAGGTTTTGGGAGGGAATGAAAGTAAATGTGGGCATTTGATCCTCCATCTTTATTTGGAACCTCTTTATAATTAAATATCTTTTTTTTTTAAACTTCTATTTAATATTACAGCATAAACAGTCCCCATGTTCTTACTTGGTCTCCATAGTAGCTTTAGTGCTTGTGCAGCACTGCTCTGAGCCCGCACCACAGCTCACCCAATCATTACCCTATTTTCAGAAGTTCAGAGTTGCTTCTGTTGTAGGGGAGGGGACTAGTTTCTTCCGGAGTCACCTTTCATTTACCTATCTCATTCATTCCCTAAATTTAGGGAATGGCTGCTGACATCCTGCTCCCTCTGCTCTCAGTCCATGGTTTCACTGCCTTGGGCCCTGATTACAGCACGACCTTGTGCAAATTTTGCTCCTCTTCAAACAGCACCATGATGCAGCACTCGTCTTTCTTTTTCAAAACAGATTTATTTAATTATTTTTGGCTGTGTTAGGTCTTCGTTACTACACACAGGCTTTCTCTAGTTGCGGTGTACAGGCTTCTCATTGCGGTGGCTTCTCTTGTTGTGGAGCACAGGCTCTTGGGCACACACCGGCTTAGCTGCTCTGCAGCATGGGCAGTCTTCCTGGATGAGGGACCGAGCCCGTGTACCCTGCACTGGCAGGGGGATTCTTAACCACTAGACCACCAGGGAAGTCCCAGCACTAATCTAAAATGTCTCCTTTCTCATGACACTTCAGAGGAAGCCTAACAGCCATCATTCATGGGGCCTGGCATTTGCAGGTCCCCATGGTTTGAGTCCACCTCACCTACCCAAACTCACCACCCTTTCCCCAAATGACCGCCTTCACCCCGGCCTGCTCTCCTAACTGCAGCCAGGGCCTGCCCACTGTGCCCTTCATAGCCACCCTCTGCTGCACGAGGCCTCCCCCGTGGGACTCTGCTTACACAGCGTCTTCCTTCCCATGACACATGAAAACCACTGAGGCTCCGCCCTCTAAACAGGATGCCAGCGCTTCTCCTCCTCACCGGCGAGGCTCCTACACCGTCCTCATCCTCCCACCATGCGGCTCCAGACCAACGCCAGGAACACAGTGCGTGCTTATGAGGGAGTCACCGAACGGAAGGGACACGAGTGTTAAGGCCTTACCTTGCCCTTCGGAGTTAGCGTCCAGATCACAGAGAAGGTCAGCTTGTCGGTCATGGGATTGAGGCTACACAGCTCTTCACACAGCAGCCTGGGAAGCATGGGGACAACCTGTGGACAGGGAACAGGCCATGAGCGGCTTTGCCCGATCTGCAGCAGTTACCCACCAGCAGAGAAGCAGCCCGGGGCAGGGGGTTCCTTCCGGTAAACAGTCGGAGCTTCCAGAGTGAGATGAACATGGTGGAAGCTCTTTTCCCTGAAAAATTCGGCAGAAAGACCACATTATCTGATACTTTTCCATGAGGCTTTAACGTTGCATGAGAATATGAACCGGAAAGCTGAGAACTGGTAATACAGGGAAAAATACATGATAGCAATAAAAAAATAACTACATTTACTATATACTAAAATTGAAGTTCAAGACTCAAGAATGACTTGTACTTTTGGATATAACTATTTCAGTTGAATGGTATACCCTCTTTAATTAAAAAAAAAAGAAATCCTCTTCAATGTACTTTCAAATAATGACTTACAGCCATCCTGCAATGTTATTTGTTTTCTCTAAAATTCCAAAGACAAAATGAGTGGCTCTTCCTGGATGTCCTGAAGATACTTCTGACTGTCTCCCTCCTGCCTTTAAATCTTTTCTTTCTCCCATAGTTTTGATTAATGACATCATCATTGACTCCCATCCACCTTCTGAACTAAAAATGGCCGTATTAACAGATGTTCATCCAACACACTTACTGCAGGCCTCCTGGATGTGCGGTGTCAGGCACAGGGAACACTGTAATGGAGCAGCAACTGTGCACTAGCTGAGGTCAAGTCAGCTAGTCAAGATTCTTCCTCAGCAAAAGCAAAACAAACCCCAGTGGTATCTTACTCTGTGTGAAGAGTATTTGGACATTTATTCTGTTTTAGTATGTTACAGTAACCTTTGATATGGAAAAGCCCACACCAGTAACAAAAAAATGTTAATAACTATATGGCATTACTCAGCATTATTCCGAAGGATGCTGCATCTTTTGTATACTTAATGACCTAATTATACCTAATGACCACCTGAAGGCTTCTGGTAACAGCTTTTTAAAAAAATTAATTTTATTTATTTATTTAATCTTGGGGGCTGTGCTGGGTCTTCGTTGCTGTGTGGGCTTTCTCTAGCTGTGGTGTGTGGGTTTCTCATCGCAGTGGCTTCTTTTGTCACAGAGCACAGGCTCTAGTGCACAGACTCAATAGTTGTGGCAGATGGGCTTAGTTGCTCCACGGCATGAGGGATCTTCCTGAATCAGGGATTGAACCTATGTCTCCTGCATTGGCAGGCAGGCTCTTTACCACTGAGCCACCAGGGAAGCCCAACAGCTTTTTATAAGGCACCTACTTTTGAAAAACTTATCTTGCTATTGTTTTTATACCATCTGTTCAGATGACACTGTATTTTATTTGTTAACTTGTTTAATGAGTATTCAAAAGTGATTTAAATAATTAACATTTTCTTGCATGTATTGAGTGCTTTGCAAAATAACATATTAATCTGCATAAATGTACTATAAAAATGGAGAAAATTTTAATATCACATTGTCTCAGGATTAAATTGTAAAGATTTCACATAATTTCAGTATTTGGACTAGGCTATGGACTGAACCATGTCTTCCCCACCCTCTAATTCCTACATTGAAGCCCTAACCCTCAATGTGACTGTACCCAATACAGTCACCTCCCAAAGGTGGGGTATTTATGTGTAATCAAGGTTAAATGAGGTCATAAGGGTGGGGCTCTGATCTTATAAGTAGAGAGGTAATTTGTGGCTCCCTGCCCTGCACACACACAGAAAGAAAGCCTTGTGAAGACACAGCCCCACACAAGCCAGGAAGAGATTCCTCACTAGAAACCAAACTGGCCAGCACCTTCTTCTAGGACTTCCAGCCTTCAGAACTATGAAAAATAAATGACTGTTTGTTAAGCTGCTCAGTCTATGGTATACTGTATGGTGGCCCAGGCTGAGTAAAATAGAGTAAATCGAGTTTGTTGAGTATGCATTATTGGGTTCTTCTCTGCACTGCATGACCAGACAATTATACCAACTGGTAGCTCAGCTGGTAAAAAAATCCACCTGCAATGCAGGAGACCCTGGTTCCAATTCCTCGGTTGGGCAGAGCCCCTGGAGAAGGGACAGGCTGCCCACTCCAGTGTTCTTGGGCTTCCCTGGTGGCTCAGCTGGTAAAGAATCTGCCTGCAATGTGAGAAACCTGGGTTCAGTTCCTCGGTTGGGAAGACCCCTTGGAGGAGGGCATGGCAACCCACTCCAGTATTCTTACTTGGAGAATCCCATGGACAGAGGAGCCTGGCAGGCTACAGTCCATGGGGTCAAAAAGAGTCAGACATGACTGAGTGACTAAGCACAGCACAGCATTTCAGTAGCAAGCTGCTCGCCCTGCACACTTGCAGTCCAGAGGTTAGTACATTTTTTACAGATAGTTAATATTTCTTCTAAGTGTTCAAGGCAGTATCTTTTTTCAAGCATACAGCTGAACATCTGAGAATGTAACATATTTCCTGACTTTGTGTTTTAGTGTTTGTGAAAAGAAAGTCATTGCAACTAAATGCAACGTGGTACCCTGGACTGAACCCTGGAACAGAAAGATAATTGGTGGAAAGACTGGGGAAATCCAAATAAAGTATGGATTTAGTTAATAGCAATGTTCCAATGTCAACTTTTCAGTTATGACAAATGTACCATGGTAATGTCAGATCTTAGCAAGGGGTGGGGGAAGCTGGGTGTGTGGTATACAGGATCTTTCTGTACTATCTTTGCAACGTTTCTGTAAACTTAAATTTATTACAAAAACAGAAGAGTTTATAAAAAGAAGGCCACCGGTTTTCATTACTTGATCTCGTAACTGTTATAAATCTTTGACAGTCACTGTGACTGGTGTGAGGTTGTTACACATTTAAATGTGGAAGAAGTTTATGCTAATTAAATACAACCTGATCTATTTTTACATATTGGAGATTGGGGTTAAGATTTGATTTGCAAAAAGGCCTTTACCACTAGAAAAACAAAAAAGACAGACATAGGGGGTCTTACGCTGTGTGATTTGGGAAACCTAGTGTAATTCTTTGAGTCTTGGCTCTCTCATTAGTAAACCAGTATTGGAGATGCTCAAAGTCGGCTCACTGGCCATCCCCTAATAAGGGGACCTTGCTTCTTTGTCAGCCTTTGCCTTGGGCCCCCCTCCAGTAACCAGAGCCACCTGGGCCTGCTTGCTGCTCCACTCGTGCACCTGTGGTTCCCTCTTTCTGGAGCACCTTTCTGAGAGTTTCGCATCTGGCCAACTTTTTGTACACCCTTTAAGATTCAGCTCATCAGCATCTCTGAAACAGTTATTCAGATTCCCCCAGGGGGACTAGGCACTGTGTTTTATAACTCCCTCCTACCTGCTCCTGTTCTTTCCAAAAGGACTTGAGGTGGTTCTAAACTGTCACTCATTGTATCCCCCTGCGCTCTCATGACACATCTACAGCTCTTGCTCTTGGCCTAACTGCTCCTTTATGTGACTCTCTGCTCCAACAGACCAAGGAATCTTCAGGAATGAGGACTGTACTGTTTCTGTCTCTCTGTCCAGCACTTTGACACACAGCAGGCACTTTCAGTTTACAAATGAATGACTGACTTTCGACCAGAAAACAAATCACCCGTTTTTTTCTATGTTAACTGTTTATCATTATCACATGAAACATTTTATGAAATACATAGTAAACTTCCACTTAAACACCTGTACTTAACAAGTTGATAGGTAGGTAGTATTTTAAGTATATGATAAGCCTGCTTCCCAGGTGGTGCTAGTAGTAAAGAATCCACTTGCCAATGCAGGAGGCCAGGGTTGGATCCCTCGGTCGGAAGATCCCCTGGAGAAGGAAATGGCAACTCAATCCAGTATTCTTGCCTGGAAAACCCCATGGACAGAGGGGCCTGGTAGACTATCGTCCCTGGAGATGCAAAGAGTTGAACACAACTGAGCACACATGATTATTATTGTTGTTGTTGTTGTTGTTATTAAACTGTTTTGGCTATTCTCTCTTAAAAACTATTGGTACACTCAACAGCTGCCCAAGGTTATAAACACTGCTTGATATCCTATGTCTTACACAGCTGAAAACAAGCTAAACATTAAAACTTTTGGGGTAGTATAATTATGCCTAATTTTTAAAAGGTACTTCCTTTCAATAAGCTTTCCCTAAATCTTAGGGCAGGATTCAGATGGACTTCTGAGAAAACAATCTTTATGTCCATATAGTTTTGTAAGTAGACAGTTATTTCCCAAAAGAAAATGAATGAAGATGTCACAATTACATCTATGGTTTGGCATGTCAGGGCCTCTCATAAACTGGGCCCATTCTCTGCTGGTGTCACTGGGACTGCCCCGTGATACATGGCACGTGTGTGAAGTGCACAGCACATCAGGGATCCCTGTGGGAGGGAGGCTGAGAGACAGAGAGCCACTCTGAAAAGTGGCTTCTGCACACACCAGTTCTGTTATTTCAGGGGAGACTTGCCTAGACAGCATAGTGGTCCCCACACTTGTTGGCTACTTGAGACCTGCCACAGTCCTGGAGAGCCCCTGGGGTAGGGTGCTAAGTACAGAACACAATGTCTAACCGGAAAAGAAAAGTGAGTTCTCGAGCAGATGAGAAACCGCTGACCGTCACCAGCATCTTGCAAACGCACAGGCATCCCTCATCCCTGGAGAGTTTTCCCCAGTGTCTTTTTCAGCTTCATTACTCAGTGTGGCCCACGTGGAGAGTTCCTTCTAAGTTCTCAAACGCTCTCACTTTCCCTGTCCCAAATCTACAGACCCACAAGCCCTCTGACAGTCTTGCACAGGTCCTGGCTGAGCAGTGATGGAGAAAATCACTATGAGGAGCAGGTCCTCCCCCTCCCTCCCCTACTCCCCAATCAGCTCCAAGTCCCACAGGTTGTGCATTGGAAATCTCCCTAAGGAGTCTTTTCCTCTCCCTCTTCTGCTGTTCGAGTGTAGAAACTTCGTCTGTCTTGGGACATATCCTAAGTGTCCTAAACCAGCAGCAGAGTTTGAGAGTTTAAATTATTC